GAGCTGTAGTCAATGAACAGCATTCTCTCACAGGTGTTCCTTTTGTCCAGGTGGGAAAGGGCAGTGTGGAGTGCAATAGAGATTGCATCATCTGTGGATCTGTTGGGGCGGTATGCAAATTGGAGTGGGTCTAGGCTTTCCGGGATAATGGTGTTGATGTGAGCCATGACCAACCTTTCAAAGCGCTTCATGGCTACCGACGTGAGTGCTACGGGGCGGTAGTCATTTAGGCAGGTTACCTTTGCTTTCTTGGGCACAGGGACTATGGTGGGCTGCTTGAAACATGTATGTATTACAGACTCGGTCAGGGACAGGTTGAAAATATCAGTGAAGACACTTGCCAGTCGGTCCGCGCATGCTCTGAGTACACATCCTGGTAATCCGTCTGGCCCCGCGGCCTTGTGAATATTGACCTGTTTAAAGGTCTTGCTCACATTGGCTACGGAGTGTGATCACAGTCGTCCAGAACAGCTGGTGTTCTCATGCATGCTTCAGTGTTGCTTGCCCCAAGGTGAGCATAAAAGGAATTTAGCTCATCTGGTAGGCTCGCGTCACTGGGCAGCTCGCGGCTGGGTTTCCCTTTTGTAGTCTGTAATAGTTTTCAAGCCCTGCCACATCCGACGAGCGTCAGAGCCAGTGTAGTACGATTCAATCTTAGTCCTGTATTGACACTTTGCCTGTTTGATGGTTCATCGGAGGGCATAGCGGGATTTCTTATAAGCGTCCGGGTTAGAGTCCCGCTCCTTGAAAGCGGCAGCTCTACCCTTTAGCTCAGTCGCGGTCAGTGCGGATGTTGCCTGTAATCCATGGCTTCTGGTTGGGGTATGTACGTACGGTCACTGTGGGGACGACGTCGTCGATGCACTTATTGATGAAGCCGGTGAATGAGGTGGTGTACTCCTCAATGCCATTGGATGAATCCCGGAACATATTCCAGTCTGTGCTAGCAAAACAGTCCTGTAGCGTAGCATCCACGTCATCTGACCACTTCGTATTGAGCGAGTCACTGGAGGGCGAAGGAGAGCTTTGTATGCGTCTCTGTGTGTGGAGTAATGGGGGTCTGGCTATCTGTCAGCCATTTGCCAAGCTTATCTGGCACCTTTGATCCTCACCAAGGAGAGAGTCATGCCCTGAGTGTCAGCAGAGTAGGCTACCCTGTAAAAAATGCGTGCGCACACTTGGGTGTTCCATACCAGTAAGAAATTAAATCTACTTTCACCCCTGGTTACACTGTGCTAGCAGGACAAGCTGTTCTGACCATGGTCATGTGATCATATGAAAAACTGGAGGTGGTGTTTTTGACGTAAATCGTCTACACATGTCCATTGTAGTCATTTAGCAGACGCTGTTATCCAGAGCCACGTCTGAGTCTAATGTTGAGGTATGGTTTCGCTGTTATCCAGAGCCACGTCTGAGTCTAATGTTTAGGGATGGTTTGGCTGAGTGCTCTGAGCTCTAATGGCTGTGCTGGGACCTGTAATAAGAGACACCTTGTTGTTATGGTGACAGTGCCACAGTGAAAGTCATGAAAATGCATCAGGATGCAGAGATACTGTCGTTATAGTGTCTGGAGGACAGCCTCCTGGTAGTGTCTGGAGGGACCAGCCTCCTGGTTAGCTGTTGTTACAGTGTGTCTCTGGAGGGACCAGCCTCCTGGTTAGCTGTTGTTACAGTGGTGTCCTCTGGAGGGACCTCCTGGTTACTGGTTTGTTGGCTAGTGTTAGTCTCTGGAGGACCAGCCTCCTGGTTAGCTGTTGTTACAGTGTGTCTCTGGAGGGACCAGCCTCCTGGCTAGCTGTTGTTAAGTGTGTCCTCTGGAGGGACCAGCCTCCTGGTTAGCTGTTGTTACAGTGTGTCTCTGGAGGACCAGCTCCTGCTAGCTGTTGTTACAGTGTGTCTCTGGAGGGACCAGCCTCCTGGTTAGCTGTTGTTACAGTGTGTCTCTGGAGGGACCAGCCTCCTGGTTAGCTGTTGTTACAGTGTGTCTCTGGAGGGACCAGCCTCCTGGTTAGCTGTTGTTACAGTGTGTCTCTGGAGGGACCAGCCTCCTGGTTAGCTGTTGTTACAGTGTGTTTCTCTGGAGGACCCCTCCTGTTAGCTGTTGTTAGTGTCCTGAGGGACCAGCCTCCTGGTTAGCTGTTGTTACAGTGTGTCTCTGGAGGGGGACCAGCCCCTGGTTAAGCTGTGTTTACAGTGTGAACTCCTTGATGGTACCAGCCTCCTGGTTAGCTGTTGTTAAGTGTGTCCTGGGAGGGAACCAAGCCCTCCGGTTAGCTGTTTGTTACAGTGTGTCTCTGGGAGGGACCAGCCTCCTGGTTAGCTGTTGTTACAGTGTGTCTCTGGAGGGACCAGCCCTCCTGGTTAGCTGTTGTTACAGTGTGTCTCTGGGAGTGACCAGCCCCTCGGTTTAGCTGTTGTTACAGGTGTGTTCTGGAGGGACCGACCTGCTCCTGGTTAGCTGTTTGTTACAGTGTGGTCCCTGGAGGGACCCAGCCTTCCTTGGTTAATCTGTTGTTTACAGTGTTGTCCTCGGGAGGGACCACAGCCTCCTGGTTAGCTGTTGTTACATGTGTGTCCTCTGTGAGGGACCAGCCTCCTGGTTTAGCGTTGTTGAACAGTGTGTCTCTGGAAGGGGACCCAGCCTCCTGGTTAGCTGTTGTTACCGTGTTCTCTGGAGGGACCAGCCTCCTGGTTAGCTGTTGTTACAGTGTGTCTCTGGAGGGACCAGCCCCTCCTGGTAGCTGTTTGTACAGTGTTCTCTGGAGGGACCAGCCTCCTGGTTAGCTGTTGTTACAGTGTGTCTCTGGAGGGACCAGCCTCCTGGTTAGCTGTTGTTACAGTGTGTCTCTGGAGGGACCAGCCTCCTGGCTAGCTGTTGTTACAGTGTGTCTCTGGAGGGACCAGCCTCCTGGGGAAGTGTCTGGAGGGACAGCCTCCTGGTTAGCTGTTGTTACAGTGTGTCTCTGGAGGGACCAGCCTCCTGGTTAGCTGTTGTTACAGTGTGTCTCTGGAGGGACCAGCCTCCTGGTTAGCTGTTGTTACAGTGTGTCTCTGGAGGGACCAGCCTCCTGGTTAGCTGTTGTTACAGTGTGTCTCTGGAGGGACCAGCCTCCTGGTTAGCTGTTGTTACAGGTGTCTCTGGAGGGACCAGCCTCCTGGCTAGCTGTTGTTACAGTGTCTCTGGAGGGACCAGCCTCCTGGTTAGCTGTTGTTACAGTGTGTCTCTGGAGGGACCAGCCTCCTGGTTAGCTGTTGTTACAGTGTGTCTCTGGAGGGACCAGCCTCCTGTTAGCTGTTGTTACAGTGTCTCGGAGGGACCAGCCTCCTGGCTAGCTGTTGTTACAGGTGCTCTGGAGGGACCAGCCTCCTGGTTGCTGTTGTTAGTGTTTGGAGGGACCAGCCTCCTGGTTAGCTGTTGTTACAGTGTGTTCTGGAGGGACCAGCCTCCTGGCTTACCTGTGTTACGTTGTTCGTCTGGAGGGACCAGCCCTGGTTAGCTGTGTTACGTGTGTCTGAGGTCTCTGGGCCAGCCTCTTGTTAGTGTTGTTACAGTTGTGTCTCTGGTGACCAACCTCCTGGTTAGGGTTGTTACATCTGTTGCTGGATGGACCACCTCCTGGTTCAGTTGTTACAGCTGGTTCTGGTGGACCAGCTTCCTGCTCTGTGTTCCACTGTGTCTCTGGAGGGACCAGTCTCCTGGCTAGCTGGTTCCAGTGTCTGAGGACACCTCCTGTTAGCTTGGTACAGTGTGTTCTTGGGACAGCTCCTGGGTATGCTAGTTGTTACAGTGTGTCTCTGGAGGGACCAGCCTCCTGGTTTAGCTGTTGACAGTGTTCGGAGGGACCAGCCTCCTGGTTGCGTGTTGTTACAGTGGTCTCTGGGATAGCCTCCTTGATACTGTTTACATGTCTCTGGAGGACCAGCCTCCTGGTAGCTGTTTTCCAGTGTCCTGGAGGGCCACCTCCTGTTAGCTGTTGTTACAGTGTGTCTCGGAGGGACAGCCTCCTGCTAGCTTGTCCTACTCATGGACTGCCTAATGCAGCTTGTAGCAGTAAGAGGAATGAGCCACTTTCTGCTCCTCCCTGCCTGATCATGCTCCCCAGAGGTGACGACCGTGCAGGTTTTAGATTGTAACCTGATCCCTAATCTGGTCTTGGGACTGTGCCTAACTGCAGCTGATTACAGACGGAGAGGACGACAGGGCACGCTCTTCAGCATTTACCTGTGAATATATGATCGTCCTCTGCCACTGCCCCCGCCCTCCCCACTCCTCTCTCCTCTCCTCCCCCCTCTCCTCCTCCCCTCCTCCCCTCTCTCCTCTCCTCCCCCCTCTCCTCCTCCCCCCTCTCCTCCTCCCCCCTCTCCTCCTCTCCCCTCTCCTCCCCCCTCTCCTCCTCTCCCCTCTCCTCCTCTCCCCTCTCCTCCTCCCCCCTCTCCCCTCTCCTCTCCTCTCCCCTCTCCTCCCCCCTCTCCTCCTCTCCCCTCTCCTCCCTGTGCAGCACAGAGCAGCAGTATAGAGCAGGAGAAGGCGTAGTCATAGAGGAGACCAGTCCACCATAACAGGCTCTCTGAGGATGGACTGGTCAGGGTCAGAGCAACCATGAGAACAGGAGGGAGGGGGGGGGGGGGCAGCGACGCCCAAGGTTTCTGGGCACTGCTGCAGTTTAACAGAGGATGCACCATCTTAGGGAGTTTCGGGATGAAAGACCGGTGAAGGGAAAGAGGTGCCAGACTGGCGGTAACTCACTGCATCGGAACAGAGGACAGCAGAGCAGAGGATGACTACAACCCCTGAGAAAAACCACCACCGTTTACAACCCCCGAGGGATTTGGTGATATTCTTTTTCTTAAACGCTCCACATTTTCCTCAGCGTTCCTGGTGGTAATGGAATAGCTACACGTTCCAAACAGGAGTGGTGCATAGAGCTGAGTCCAGAGGCTGTGGTCCATAAAATGGAATATGGTGTCCAGGAAGTGACAGATTTAAAGCTGACAAGGACATGGCGAAGATGTCAGAGTCGGGCACAGAGACCAAAGGGAGCTCAGGCTCTTCCTCATCCTCCCTGGCTCTAGCTAATGATGCTGTGGGGGACTCTGAGTGTGTGGCGCTGTCCAAGGTGCCTGAGCTAGTCAGGGAGCTACTAACCATCAACGGCCAGGGAACAGGGGAGGAGAGGGAGAGGAGACTGGACCTCGCATGGCTCAAACTCAAACAGACCGTCCGCAGGAAATGCAACCTGTTTGAGCACCTGCAGGTTAGCATGGGAGCAATATTCACAGGTCTGTGGGCTCTGTCCCAAAATGGAACCCTGTTCCCTTTGTAGTGCACTACTTTAGACCAGGGTCCACAGGGCGCCATTTGGGACATGACCTTTGTTCTTAAATCTAACGTGGGATGCTTGAATACACACGGCATGTGATGTCACATAGTGGTTTGGGATTGTTTCCGTTGCAGTCAACATCCAAGAAAAGAGTATTGCATCTAAAATGGGATTATTCCTTGTGATCGTTCAACGTATGATTGTAGAATGAATAATGGCACCCTATTCCCTATATAGTGCACTACTTTTGACGAGGGCCCGTAGTGCACTATATAGGGAATAGGGTGCCATTCTCTGGTCTAAAGTAGTGCACTATATAGGGAATAGGGTGCCATTCTCTGGTCTAAAGTAGTGCACTATATAGGGAATAGGGTGCCATTTGGGATATAAACGTTGTTTCTGTGCAACATCTGCTGTGTGTTGACGACGTCAGACTGACTACGGTGCCTTGCAAAAGTATTCATCCCCCTTGGCGTTTTTCCTATTTTGTTGCATTACAACCTGTAATTTAAATGGATTTTTATTTCGATTTCATGTAATGGACATACACAAAATAGTCCAAATTGGTGAAGTGAAATGAAAAAAAATTACTTGTTTCAAAAAATAAATAACGGAAAAGTGGTGCGTGCATATGTATTCACCCCCTTTGCTATGAAGCCCTTAAATAAGATCTGGTGCAACCAATTACCTTCAAAAGTCACATAATTAGTTAAATAAAGTCCACCTGTGTGCAATCTAAGTGTCACATGATCTCAGTGTATATATACACCTGTTCTGAAAGGCTCCAGAGTCTGCAACACCACTAAGCAAGGGGCACCACCAAGCAAGCGGCACCATGAAGACCAAGGAGCTCTCCAAACAGGTCAGGGACAAAGTTGTGGAGAAGTACAGATCAAGGTTGGGTTATAAAAAAAATATCAGAAACTTTGAACATCCCACAGAGCACCATTAAATCCATGGAAAGAATATGGCACCACAACAAACCTGCCAAGAGAGGGCCGTCCACCAAAACTCACGGACCAGGCAAGGAGGGCATTAATCAGAGGCAACAAAGAGACCAAAGATAACCCTGAAGGAGCTGCAAAGCTCCACAGCGGAGATTGGAGTATCTGTCCATAGGACCACTTTAAGCCGCACACTCCACAGAGCTGGGCTTTTTTTTTTTTTTTCACGTTTATTTAACCAGGTAAGCCAGTTGAGAACAAGTTCTCATTTACAACTGCGACCTGGCCAAGATAAAGCTTTACGGAAGAGTGGCCAGAAAAAAGTCATTGCTTTAAGAAAAAAATAAGCTAACAGGTTTGGTGTTCGCCAAAAGCCATGTGGGAGACTCCCCAAAGATATGGAAGAAGGTACTCTGGTCAGATGAGACTAAAATTGAGCTTTTTGGCCAGCAAGGAAAATACTATGTCTGGCGCAAACCCAACACCTCTCATCACCCAGAGAACACCATCCCCACAGTTAAGCATGGTGGTGGCAGCATCATGCTGTGGGGATGTTTTTCATCGGCAGGGACTGGGAAATCCCACTTGAAGGAGCTGGAGCAGTTTTGCCTTGAAGAAGGGGTTAAAATCCCAGTGGCTAGATGTGCCAAGCTTATAGAGACATACCCCAAGAGACTTGCAACTGTAATTGCTGCAAAAGGTGGCTCTACAAAGTATTGACTTTGGGGGGGTGAATAGTTATGCACGCTCAAGTTTTCTGTTTTCTTGTCTTATTTCTTATTTGTTTCACAATAAAAAATAGTTAGCATCTTCAAAGTGGTCGGCATGTTTTGTAAATCAAATGATACAAACCCCCCCAAAAAATCTATTTTAATTCCAGGTTGTAAGGCAACAAAATGGGGAAAATGCCAAGGGGGGTGAATACTTTCGCAAGCCACTGTATGTTGAACATGATGGTGTGTTGACGATGTCAGACTGACTATGTTGAACATGACGGTGTGTTGATGATGTCAGACTGACTATGTTGAACATGACGGTGTGTTGACGATGTCAGACTGACTATGTTGAACATGACGGTGTGTTGATGATGTCAGACTGACTATGTTGAACATGACGGTGTGGTTGATGATGTCAGACTGACTATGTTGAACATGACGGTGTTTGACGATGTCAGACTGACTATGTTGAACATGGACGGTGTGTTTGACGATGTCAGACTGACTATGTTGAACATGGTGGTGTGTGTTGATGATGTCAGACTGACTATGTTGAACATGACGGTGTGTTGACGATGTCAGACTGACTATGTTGAACATGATGGTGTGATGACGATGTCAGACTGACTATGTTGAACATGACGGTGTGTTGACGATGTCAGACTGACTATGTTGAACATGACGGTGTGTTGATGATGTCAGACTGACTATGTTGAACATGACGGTGTGTTGACGATGTCAGACTGACTATGTTGAACATGATGGTGTGTTGACGATGTCAGACTGACTATGTTGAACATGACGGTGTGTTGATGATGTCAGACTGACTATGTTGAACATGGTGGTGTGTTGATGTCAGACTGACTATGTTGAACATGACGGTGTGTTGACGATGTCAGACTGTTGAACATGACGGTGTGTTGACGATGTCAGACTGACTATGTTGAACATGATGGTGTGTTGATGTCAGACTGACTATGTTGAACATGACGGTGTGTTGATGATGTCAGACTGTTGAACATGACGGTGTGTTGACGATGTCAGACTGACTATGTTGAACATGACGGTGTGTTGACGATGTCAGACTGACTATGTTGAACATGACGGTGTGTCGACGATGTCAGACTGACTATGTTGAACATGACGGTGTGTTGACGATGTCAGACTGACTATGTTGAACATGACGGTGTGTTGACGATGTCAGACTGACTCAGACTGACTATGTTGAACATGACGGTGGTGTTGACGATGTCGACTGACTATGTTGAACATGGATGGTGTGTTGACGATGTCAGACTGACTAATGTTAACATGACAGGTGTGTTGACTATGTCAGACTGACTATGTTAACTTACGGTGTGTTGACGATGTCAACTGAACTATGTTGAACATGATGGTGGTGTGACGATGTCAGACTGACTATGTTGAACATATGGTGTGTTGATGTCAGACTGACTATGTTGAACATGATTGGTGTGTTGAGGATGTCAGACTGACTATGTTTGAACATGATGGGTTGACGATGTCCAGACTGACTATGTTGACATGATGGTGTGTTGACGATGTCAGACTATGTAACATGGTGGGTTTTTTTTTGGTTGGATGTCAGATGACTATGTTGACATGAGTTGTGTTGACGATGTCGACGATCTATGTTGAAACCTGATGGTGTGTTGACGATGTCCCAGACTTCGACTATGGTTTGACATACGGTGATGATGAGTCAGACTGCTATGGTTGAACAGACGGGTGTGTTGACGATGTCAGACTGACTATGTTGAACATTACGGGTGTGTTGACGATGTCAGACTGACTATGTTGAACATGACGGTGTGATTGCGATGGTCAGACTGACTATGTGGAAACATGACGGTTTGTGTTGACGATGTCAGACTGACTAGTTTGAACATGATGGTGTGTGACGATGTACAGACTGACTATGTGAACATGATTGGTGTGTGGACCGATTGTCAGACTGACTATGTTGAACATGATGGTGTGTTCACGATGTCAGACGCTGACTGTTGAACATGATGGTGTGATTGGACGAGGTCCAGACTGACTATGTTGAACATTGATGGTGTTGTTGACGATGTCAGACTGACGATGTTGAAACATGATGGTGTGTTGACGATGTCAGACTGACTATGTTGAAACATGATGGTGTGTTGACGATGCCAGACTGGGACTATGTTGAACATGATGGTGTGTTGGACGATGTCAGATGACTATGTTGAACATGATGGTGTGTTGCCGATGTCCAGACATGACTATGTGAACATGAGTGGTGTGTTGATGATGTCAGACTGACTATGTTGAACATGATGGTGTGTTTGACTGATGTCAGACTGACTATGTTGACATGATGGTGTGTTGACGACGTCAGGACTGACTATGTTGAACCATGACGGTGTGTTGACGATGTCAGACTGACTATGTTGAACATGACGGTGTGTTGATGATGTCAGACTGACTATGTTGAACATGATGGTGTGTTGATGATGTCAGACTGACTATGTTGAACATGACGGTGTGTTGATGATGTCAGACTGACTATGTTGAACATGATGGTGTGTTGATGATGTCAGACTGACTATGTTGAACATGATGGTGTGATGATGATGTCAGACTGACTATGTTGAACATGATGGTGTGTTGACGATGTCAGACTGACTATGTTGAACATGACGGTGTGTTGATGATGTCAGACTGACTATGTTGAACATGATGGTGTGTTGACGATGTCAGACTGACTATGTTGAACATGATGGTGTGTTGATGATGTCAGACTGACTATGTTGAACATGATGGTGTGTTGACGATGTCAGACTGACTATGTTGAACATGATGGTATGTTGACGATGTCAGACTGACTATGTTGAACATGATGGTGTGTTGACGATGTCAGACTATGTTGAACATGATGGTGTGTTGATGTCAGACTGACTATGTTGAACATGATGGTGTGTTGACGATGTCAGACTGACTATGTTGAACATGATGGTATGTTGACGATGTCAGACTGACTATGTTGAACATGGTGGTGTGATGTCAGTGTTTATGCAGCTAATATGGATCTTTCAACCCCTTCCATCCAGACCTCTTTAATGTGTTCCATTCACAAGGAGCCCTGGTCAAAAGGAGTGCACTAGATGGGGGATAAGAGCCCTGGTCAAAAGGAGTGCACTAGATGGGGGATAGGAGCCCTGGTCAAAAGGAGTGCACTAGATGGGGGATAGGAGCCCTGGTCAAAAGGAGTGCACTAGATGGGGGATAGGAGCCCTGGTCAAAAGGAGTGCACTAGATGGGGGATAGGAGCCCTGGTCAAAAGGAGTGCACTAGATGGGGGGATAATGGGGGAGTAGCCCTGGTCAAAAGGAGTGCACTAGATGGGGGATAGGAGCCCTGGTCAAAAGGAGTGCACTAGATGGGGGATAGGAGCCCTGGTCAAAAGAGTGCACTAGATGGGGATGGAGCCCTGGTCAAAAGGAGTGCACTAGATGGGGGATAGGAGCCCTGGTCAAAAGGAGTGCCCTGGTCAAAAGGAGTGCACTAGAGGAGTTGGAGCTGTTCCCATATTATTGATGTGTATCCAGTCCTTTCAGATCTGGTCTATAGCAGTACTTGCCTTTACTGTTAGGAACCTGATGAGTCATCCTACTGCTATGTATTCCATAGCTCTTACCGTCTACCTCTGTCTCTGTATGTCCTCTGTCGTCCCCTTAGAGCATTTGATCTCCTCTTATGTCCTCATGTATGCCATGTTACCTACCCTCATCTCCTCTCTCCCCCTCCCTCCCCCCTCTCTCCCCCTCCCTCCCCTCCCTCCCCCCTCCCTCACCTCTCTCCCCCTCTCTCCCCCTCCCTCCCCCTCCCTCCCCCTCTCTCCCTCTCTCCCCCTCCCTCCCCATCTCCCTCTCTCCCCCAGCAAGACCAGCTGTACACGTGGGCAGCGGTCAGCCAGCCCCCCCACTCCATGGAACACTTTGAGGGCCGGGCCCCCCTCCCTGGGCACCTGAAGACCCTGTGGCCCCCACCCAGACCTGTGGGAGAAGATAGACCAGGCCTCCAGCACACCGAGGAGGGTAGGGGCCCTCACCACATCTATACAGATACTATATACTGTAGAGACTAGTACTAAACCAGATATCAGACCAGGCCTCCAGCACACCGAGGAGGGTAGGGGCCCTCACCACATCTATACAGATACTATATACTGTAGAGACTAGTACTAAAACAGATATCAGACCAGGCCTCATTACACAGAGTAGGGGCCCTCACCACATCTATACAGATACTATATACTGTAGTGACTAGTACTAAAACCGATATCAGACCAGGCCTCATTACACAGAGGAGAGTAGGGGCCCTCAACACATCTATACAGATACTATATACAATAAGTTGGGCCAAGGTGGGTAGGGGAAAGAGACTGTAGGAGAGTAGGGGCCAAGGTGGGTAGGGGAAAGAGACTGTAGGAGAGTAGGGGCCAAGGTGGGTAGGGGAAAGAGACTGTAGGAGAGTAGGGGCCAAGGTGGGTAGGGGAAAGAGACTGTAGGGGCCAAGGTGGGTAGGGGAAAGAGACTGTAGGAGAGTAGGGGCCAAGGTGGGTAGGGGAAAGAGACTGTAGGAGAGTAGGGGCCAAGGTGGGTAGGGGAAAGAGACTGTAGGAGAGTAGGGGCCAAGGTGGGTAGGGGAAAGAGACTGTAGGAGAGTAGGGGCCAAGGTGGGTAGGGGAAAGAGACTGTAGGAGAGTAGGGGCCAAGGTGGGTAGGGGAAAGAGACTGTAGGAGAGTAGGGGCCAAGGTGGGTAGGGGAAAGAGACTGTAGGGGCCAAGGTGGGTAGGGGAAAGAGACTGTAGGGGAGTAGGGGCCAAGGTGGGTAGGGGAAAGAGACTGTAGGGGCCAAGGTGGGTAGGGGAAAGAGACTGTTGTAGTTGTTTTCAGTTGAAACTTTAACTTGCAATGATCCTGATTGGCTACACTGAAGCTGTTGGGGCCTTCATTAGGACGTGATTACAGATCCCTACTATAGAGACATACGCTGAGTGTACCAAACATTAAGAACACCTTCCTAATATTGAGTTGCACCCCCTTTTCCCCTCAGAACAGCCTCAATTCGTCGGGGCACGGACTCTACAAGGTGTCGAAAGCGTTCCACAGGGATGCTGGCCCATGTTGACTCCAATGCTTCCCATAGTTGTGTCAAGTTGGCTGGATGTCCTTTGGGTGGTGGACCATTCTTGATACACACGGGAAACTGTTGAGCATGAAAAACCCAGCAGCGTTGCAGTTCTTGACACAAACCGGTGCGCCTGGCACCTAGTACCATATCCCGTTCAAAGGCACTTAAATATTTTGTCTTGCCCATTCACCCTCTGAATGGCACACATACACAATCCATGTCTCAATTGTCTCGAGGCTTAAAAACCCTTCTTTAACCTGTCTCCTCCCCTTCATCTACACTGATTGAAGTGGATTTAACAAGTGACATCAATAAGGGATCATAGCTTTCACCTGGATTCACCTGGTCAGTCTATGTCATGGAAAAGAGCAGGTGTTCTTTTAATGTTTTATACACACAGTCTATAGTGCTACAACAGATATCTACTGAGCTGTGCCAGTAATGAGGAACTTGGTAATGTGGGGAAAAGCAACACCTTTCTGTAGTTAAAGCACCCCTCTCTCCTCGACTCAATCATCTGTTTTCATTGGTTGTTTTCCTCTCGTTCTGTTTTTTAACCTTGTTCCTCAGCCAGGGTGGAGCGGGTAGCTTTGTTCCTCAGCCAGGGTGGAGCGGGTAGCTTTGTTCCTCAGCCAGGGTGGAGCGGGTAGCTTTGTTCCTCAGCCAGGGTGGAGCGGGTAGCTTTGTTCCTCAGCCAGGGTGGAGCAGGTAGCTTTGTTCCTCAGCCAGGGTGGAGCGGGTAGCTTTGTTCCTCAGCCAGGGTGGAGCGGGTAGCTTTGTTCCTCAGCCAGGGTGGAGCGTGTAGCTTTGTTCCTCAGCCAGGGTGGAGCGGGTAGCTTTGGCTTTTGTTCTGGTAGAGTTATGTGTCCAGGGAGAAGGAGAGTGGAGTTGAGCTACCATGTTTTACACCAGGGGTGCCTTGAAACATATCACTAGCATTCATTTAACCCAACAATGTAGATTTAAGGAAAGGCTTGTTTCTAAACTTGATCTCTCTTCTTTCATGCTACAGTACCTCTAGTGGGTGATGAAGGTAAGTAATGGTTACATTGTGAATGTGTTTCTAAGTGATAATTTAACTCCGTTTTCTTTTGGGCCTTGTTCGTCAGTTACATCATGTGCTGTCTGTTTGTAGTCCCACCTGCTATTAAAAGGGGGAAGGTTGCATAGCAACAATGAGTCAGTGCTTAGGCAGACACAGATGGATTGATATTCTGAGCACCACTTTCCCCTATAATGTCCCCCAACATCCTGTACTCTTTCCCCTCTAATGTCCCCCAACATCCTGTAGTCTTTCCCCTCTAATGTCCCCCAACATCCTGTAGTCTTTCCCCTCTAATGTCCCCCAACATCCTGTAGTATTTCCCCTCTAATGTCCCCCAACATCCTGTACTCTTTCCCCTCTAATGTCCCCCAACATCCTGTACTCTTTCCCTTCTAATGTCCTCCAACATCCTGTACTCTTTCCCTTCTAATGTCCTCCAACATCCTGTACTCTTTCCCCTCTAATGTCCCCCAACATCCTGTACTCTTTCCCCTCTAATGTCCCCCAACATCCTGTACTCTTTCCCCTCTAATGTCCCCCAACATCCTGTAGTCTTTCCCCTCTAATGTCCCCCAACATCCTGTACTCTTTCCCCTCTAATGTCCCCCAACATCCTGTAGTATTTCCCCTCTAATGTCCCCCAACATCCTGTAGTATTTCCCTTCTAATGTCCCCCAACATCCTGTACTCTTTCCCCTCTAATGTCCCCCAACATCCTATACTCTTTCCCCTCTAATGTCCCCCAACATCCTGTACTCTTTCCCCTCTAATGTCCCCCAACATCCTGTAGTATTTCCCTGCTGTTGATTCTGACTCCTATAGAGCAGGCTGGTGAATGTAATAGTGTATTTTCCCTAACTATTGGTTTGATATGAAATGAGACTTTAGACATACCTCTGCTTGTGAGGAATATAACCTTTGCTTATTTTTGATGTTCACATTAAATGTCAATTTTAATTTCATTCTAAGAAAAACATTGCATGATGCAACAGATTGTGAATTTACAGTGAGGGGGGAAAAAAAAGTATTTGATCCCCTGCTGATTTTGTATGTTTGCCCACTGACAAAGAAATGATCAGTCTATAATTTTAATGGTAGGTTTATTTGAACAGTGAGAGACAGAATAACAACAACAAAAATCCAGAAAAACGCTTGTTAAAAATGTTCTAAATTGATTTGCATTTTAATGTAGAATGTCGGGTGTAGTTGTATTCTGGTAGGGATAATATAGAAGGATCCTCTCTGCTCCTACAGGACACCAGGCAGCCATCCTGGGGCTGAAGAGACAGCAGAGAGAAGCAGTCAACGAACTTCAGGTCAGTCACCCTACCTGAGATTAGGGTTGCAAAGTACCGCTAAGATTCCATAAAATCAGTAGGGGATCTTGCAACCCTACCTGAGAGGTTAGCTATAGAATTATACAGTATTTTCCCCTTGGGAGAGAATTGCATAGTATTTCTGGTCCGTCATCAACATTTAGCCAGAATAGCCCTCACCACCTTTCACCTGATTGACCACAGGAGGGCAGCATCCACTAACAGTTAGTTGTGCTAGTTTAGTGGAATAAACTTAATAGCGGTTATATGTGAGGGACTTGGTCTTGTTGTGTGGGCCAATACCTGGCAGACTCGGACCTCTCCTGTGTTTATCAGTCATCACTCATGTGTCCTGGAGAGGCACCTTGTTGGTAAAGTATTGTCCTTTATCTTAACTTGTCCCATAGGAAGTCATTTTGCTCCTTCAAGAAGCCCTGCCTCTAACAACAATATGTTCAATATAACATCGTTCTCATTGTGCTTATATAACAGTTAACATATTGCTTTAAAGGTTTATATGAACACTGTGTTCTCTCTCTCTCTCTGTCTCTGTCTCTGTGTCGCTCTCTGTCGCTCTCTCTCTCTCTCTGTCGCTCTCTCTCTGTCGCTCTCTCTCTCTCTCTGTCGCTCTCTCTCTGTCGCTCTCTCTCTCTCTCTGTCGCTCTCTCTCTGTCGCTCTCTCTCTGTCGCTCTCTCTCTGTCGCTCTCTCTCTCGCTCCCTCTCTGTCGCTCTCTGTCGCTCTCGCTCTCTGTCGCTCTTTCTCTCTGTCTCTCTGTCTGTCTCTCTGTCGCTCTCTCTCTCTCTCTCTCTCTCTCTGTCTCTCTCTCTCTCTCTGTCGCTCTCGTCGCTCTCTGTCGCTCTCTCTCTGTCGCTCTCTGTCGCTCTCTCTCTCTGTCGCTCTCTCTCTCTCTGTCGCTCTCTCTCTCTGTCGCTCTCTCTCTCTGTCGCTCTCTCTCTCTGTCGCTGTCTCTCTCTGTCGCTCTCTCTCTCTGTCGCTCTCTCTCTCTGTCGCTCTCTCTCTCTGTCGCTCTCTCTCTCTCTGTCGCTCTCTCTCTCTCTGTCGCTCTCTCTCTCTCTGTCGCTCTCTCTCTCTGTCGCTCTCTCTCTCTGTCGCGCTCTCTCTCTCTGTCGCGCTCTCTCTCTCTGTCGCGCTCTCTCTCTCTGTCGCGCTCTCTCTCTCTGTCGCGCTCTCTCTCTCTGTCGCGCTCTCTCTCTCTGTCGCGCTCTCTCTCTCTGTCGCGCTCTCTCTCTCTGTCGCGCTCTCTCTCTCTCTCTCTCGCTCTCTCTCTCTCTCTGTCGCTCTCTCTCTCTCTCTCTGTCGCGCTCTCTCTCTCTGTCGCGCTCTCTCTCTCTCTGTCGCGCTCTCTCTCTCTGTCGCGCTCTCTCTCTCTGTCGCGCTCTCTCTCTCTGTCGCGCTCTCTCTCTCTGTCGCGCTCTCTCTCTCTGTCGCGCTCTCTCTCTCTCTCTGTCGCTCTCTCTCTCTCTCTGTCGCTCTCTCTCTCTCTCTGTCGCTCTCTCTCTCTCTCTCTGTCGCGCTCTCTCTCTCTCTGTCGCGCTCTCTCTCTCTGTCGCGCTCTCTCTCTCTGTCGCGCTCTCTCTCTCTGTCGCGCTCTCTCTCTCTGTCGCGCTCTCTCTCTCTGTCGCGCTCTCTCTCTCTGTCGCGCTCTCTCTCTCTCTCTGTCGCTCTCTCTCTCTCTCTGTCGCTCTCTCTCTCTCTCTGTCGCTCTCTCTCTCTCTCTGTCGCTCTCTCTCTCTCTGTCGCTCTCTCTCTCTCTGTCGCGCTCTCTCTCTCTGTCGCGCTCTCTCTCTCTCTCTCCGCTCTCTCTCTCTCTCTGTCGCTCTCTCTCTCTCTCTGTCGCTCTCTCTCTCTCTCTGTCGCTCTCTCTCTCTCTGTCGCTCTCTCTCTCTCTCTGTCGCTCTCTCTCTCTCTCTGTCGCTCTCTCTCTCTCTGTCGCTCTCTCTCTCTCTCTGTCGCTCTCTCTCTCTCTCTCTGTCGCGCTCTCTCTCTCTCTCTGTCGCGCTCTCTCTCTCTGTCGCGCTCTCTCTCTCTGTCACTCTCTCTCTGTCACTCTCTCTCTCTCTCTGTCGCTCTCTCTAGGAGGAGTCAGTGATGAAAACAGTGAAGCTGAAAGAGGAGCACGTCAACGTGATCCAGCAGTTAGAACAGACCATCGAGGACCTGCGGACTAAGATAGCTGAGCTGGAGGAACAGTACCCCCTGGAGAGTGGTGGGGAGGGGGGTCTGTACAGGGAGGTCTGTGATGTAGACCTACAAACTGAGGAGAGGATAGTGAAGGAGGTCTGTGATGTAGACCTACAAACTGAGGAGAGGATAGTGGATGTCTGTGATGTAGACCTACAGACTGAGAGTCTTCTGAGTTGTCTAGAGGCCAAGTCTGTCCAGACGTCGCCTATGGAGGAAAGCTTTAAGTTTAAAGTGCCTTTACCGGACCAGATGCCACCCTTCTTTGTAAAGGAGAATGGAGGAGTGACCACCTTGTCTTCCTCCTGTCAACCTAATCTCCCCTCAGAACTGGCCCTGTCCCTACCCATACCCTTCTCCCCCAAGGCCGGACCAGCATTTGTCTGTACGTGCCAACAGAGTCGCATTAAACCACCTCCTCTACCAGGGGATATGATGCCCCCCCCTCCCCCACCTCCTCTACCAGGGGGTATGATGCCCCCCCCTCCCCCACCTCCTCTACCAGGGGGTATGATGCCCCCCCCTCCCCCACCTCCTCTACCAGGGGGTATGATGCCTCCCCCTCCCCCACCTCCTCTACCAGGGGGTATGATGCCCCCCCCTCCCCCACCTCCTCTACCTGGCATGGGGATGGCACCTCCCCCACCCCCTCTACCAGGTGGCTGTGGCCCCCCACCTCCTCCTCCATTACCTGGGATGTGCCCTCCTCCACCTCCTCTACCAGGTGGCTGTGGCCCCCCACCTCCTCCACCATTACCTGGGATGGGCGGTCCTCCTCCTCCTCCTCCTCCTCCACCCTGTGGCTTGGGCTCCCTGGTCCCTCCCCTGCCCATGGGACTGTATGCTCTAAGCATGGCCCATGAGAAACCTCCCCGGAAAGGAGTGGTGGAGCCTCCCAGGCCCATGAAACCTCTCTACTGGACCAGGATACAGCTCAACTCGGCTCAACACAAAAAGTAATCAATCAATCAAATGTATTTAACAAGCCCCTTTTTTTTTTTTTCAGCAGTTGTCACAAAAGCGCTATGCTAAAAAGTAATCATGTGACAGCTGTGGTCCTCTGTAGCTCAGCTGGTAGAGCACGGCGCTTGTAACGCCAAGGTAGTGGGTTCGATCCCCGGGACCACCCAAACACAAAAATGTATGCACGCATGACTGTAAGTCGCTTTGGATAAAAGCGTCTGCTAAATGGCATGTTATATTATATTATTACAGCTATGCTAGTTACAGAAGCGTCTGGGCCTGTGTGATTTAAGATGGAAAACTGGTCCTAGATCAGCGGTCTTATTCTGAGACTCTTTGTGGACCTTGCTGTATTGTTTCAGACCATGGCCCCAACTAAAGAGGATTCTGCTCAGCATTTATGATAGTGTGGACAAGGCTGTTTCTGAAAATGCCTACACAGGAAGGGTCGGACGGAGTATGAGTCCAAATCAAAGTATGTGAAACGGAGCACAGAGGGCACTTTTCAGATGCGTACTCCGTTTGTACATAGTTTTTAAGCGTCGATGCAAGTTTCAACAAAGTATGCACAGAAAAAGTACGAATCCACGTAAACAACTACGCAACATTTCTTGAAAACCATGGAGGCCATTATTTGAGCTAAAGTGAGAGAAAATAAACGGCAACTTCGGAATGAAATGTTGCCCTTTCACATCTCAATACTTTATCTTGATATGTTAATAAATATATACTGTGTTCATTTTGGCATTTTGACCTGCCTACAATACATAGGCGTGTGTAGATCGCAAGCCCATAGTAAGTCAATAGGGCTAACTGGCTAGCTGCTACTGTCAATAGGGCTAACTGGTTAGCTGCTACTGTCAATAGGGCTAACTGGCTAGCTGCTACTGTCAATAGGGCTAACTGGTTAGCTACTACTGTCAATAGGGCTAACTGGCTAGCTACTACTGTTAATAGTGCTAACTGGCTAGCCATGAAGAATTGGCATGTACTTTGCATAACATTCGTTTTAGGTCATTTTTGCCTGTTAAACTATCTGGCCAGCTAGATTTTTACGATTCACATACTGTATATCTAGCTGATAGTTATGACGTAAAACATTTGCTTTGTGTATATCTTGTTTGGTCTCTATTGTTGCCATTGTCCTGGCTGGAAGAAGGTTCAGTGATCGGGGAGGAGCAGCCTGAGGTAATACAGTAGGGGGAGGGGTCAGTGAAGGGGGAGGAGCAGCCTGAGGTAATACAGTAGGGGGAGGGGTCAGTGAAGGGGAGGAGCAGCCTGAGGTAATACAGTAGGGGGGAGGGGTCAGTGAACGGGGAGGAGCAGCCTGAGGTAACACAGTAGGGGGAGGGGTCAGTGAACGGGGAGGAGCAGCCTGAGGTAATACAGTAGGGGGAGGGGTCAGTGAACGGGGAGGAGCAGCCTGAGGTAATACAGTAGGGGGAGGGGTCAGTGAACGGGGAGGAGCAGCCTGAGGTAATACAGTAGGGGGAGGGGTCAGTGAACGGGGAGGAGCAGCCTGAGGTAATACAGTAGGGGGAGGGGTCAGTGAACGGGGAGGAGCAGCCTGAGGTAATACAGTAGGGGGAGGGGTCAGTGAACGGGGAGGAGCAGCCTGAGGTAATACAGTAGGGGGAGGGGTCAGTGAAGGGGGAGGAGCAGCCTGAGGTAATACAGTAGAGGGAGGGGTCAGTGAACGGGGAGGAGCAGCCTGAGGTAATACAGTAGAGGGAGGAGCAGCCTGAGGTAACACAGTAGGGGGAGGGGTCAGTGAACGGGGAGGAGCAGCCTGAGGTAATACAGTAGGGGGAGGGGTCAGTGAACGGGGAGGAGCAGCCTGAGGTAACACAGTAGGGGGAGGGGTCAGTGAACGGGGAGGAGCAGCCTGAGGTAATACAGTAGAGGGGAGGGGTCAGTGAACGAGGAGGAGCAGCCTGAGGTAATACAGTAGAGGGAGGGGTCAGTGAACGGGGAGGAGCAGCCTGAGGTAATACAGTAGGGGGAGGGGTCAGTGGACGGGGAGGAGCAGCCTGAGGTAATAGAGTAGGGGGAGGGGTCAGTGAAGGGGGAGGAGCAGCCTGAGGTAATACAGTAGGGGGAGTGTTTTCATGTGTTCTCCACAAGAACGTACTCCAGAGAACGTCCTTGGGGAATGTGCTCAGAGCATGACAGTGTGGAGCACGGTAGAATGCATATTGAGAAACCACCATAACTCAGTGAAATGAAAAAAGATGTGTTAGAAGGGTGAAGCTGAGGTTTGAATTAAAACAGGTGTCGTACAGGCAGCATATGGTTAGACTGGACCCCGTCTGGCAGCATGTGGTTAGACTGGACCCTCTCTGGCAGCATGTGGTTAGACTGGACCCTCTCTGGCAGCATGTGGTTAGACTGGACCCCGTCTGGCAGCATGTGGTTAGACTGGACCCTCTCTGGCAGCATGTGGTTAGACTGGACCCTCTCTGGCAGCATGTGGTTAGACTGGACCCTCTCTGGCAGCATGTGGTTAGACTGGACTCTCTCTGGCAGCAGGTGGTTAGACTGGACCCTCTCTGGCAGCATGTGGTTAGACTGGACCCTCTCTGGCAGCATGTGGTTAGACTGGACCCTCTCTGGCAGCATGTGGTTAGACTGGACCCTCTCTGGCAGCATGTGGTTAGACTGGACAGGCAGCATGTGGTTAGACTGGACCCTCTCTGGCAGCATGTGGTTAGACTGGATCCCCTCTGGCTGGCTGGCTGGGGAAGAGCTTTGGAGGTATTTGATACAAACAGGTTTTGAATTTTTTTGAACCATGGAACAAGAAATGCCAAGCTGGTTAAACGGACAATGTGACAGTCTAGGAAAACAAGCTAGAGGCAGAACAATACGATTACCCCCACAGTAGTGACATCAGTTGATAGTAGAATAGATGCTGTGTCAATTGTTTTTAACGGAAATGTATTGATTTGCTGTCACAAAACCAAATGAGATGTGGACAAAAAGTTAGCTGATATTTCTTATAACTTTTTTATGTGGTTCCAAAGGTCACAACCTCACGAACTCTTTCCCTCATCCTAGAGACGTCCTCAAGGTGTAACACTGTAACGCCTATGTGGTTCCAAAGGTCATGACCTCACTAACTCTTTCCCTCATCCTAGAGACGTCCTCAAGGTGTAACACTGTAACGCCTATGTGGTTCCTAAGGTCATGACCTCACTAACTCTTTCCCTCATCCTAGAGACGTCCTCAAGGTGTAACACTGTAACGCCTATGTGGTTCCAAAGGTCACGACCTCACTAACTCTTTCCCTCATCCTAGAGACATCCTCAAGGTGTAACACTGTAACGCCTATGTGGTCCAAAGGTCACGACCTCACTAACTCTTTCCCTCATCCTAGAGAGGCGAGCGGGTCGCTGGTCTGGGACAAGATAGAGGAGCCTGACGTGAACTTTGAGGAGTTCGTGGAGCTGTTTTCCAAGACTGCTGTGAAGGAGAAGAAGAAACCCCTGTCTGATACCATCACCAAGTCTAAAGCCAAACAGGTGAGATCTGATACCATCACCAAGTCTAAAGCCAAACAGGTGAGATCTGACACCATCACCAAGTCTAAAGCCAAACAGGTGAGATCTGACACCATCGCCAAGTCTAAAGCCAAACAGGTGAGATCTGATACCATCGCCAAGTCTAAAGCCAAACAGGTGAGATCTGATACCATCGCCAAGTCTAAAGCCAAACAGGTGAGATCTGATACCATCACCAAGTCTAAAGCCAAACAGGTGAGATCTGATACCATCACCAAGTCTAAAGCCAAACAGGTGAGATCTGATACCATCACCAAGTCTAAAGCCAAACAGGTGAGAGCAGATTTTTATACGCAAAAATGGTGCTCGTTTAGCAAATTTGATCTCGGTCGTTGAATATGGTTAAAATGTTTATTGCCACGCTAAGTAGGATAGAGTGAGACTGGACCTTTTTCATCTCTGACCCTGGTAATGTCTTTTAAAACTGCCGGGGTATCTCTGCATCCCCAGTCAGAGCCTGTGATGTTGGAGGAGATGGATACAACAGTCTTTTATTGACTAGCTTTGACAGTCTAGAGCCAGACGTGATATGCACAAAATAGAGGCTTACATCCGTGGCCAAACTGGGCCAGACAGTTTCCCCTTGATGTTCCCTGTTTGGTTTCTGAATCAGCCTGTGTCCCAAATGAAACCCTAGTCCCTAAATAGTGCACTACTTTTGACCAGAGCCCATCTTACTCTATGTAGGGAATAGGCTATAATTTGGGACACAGTCCCTGTATCAGTTATCTACATCACTTCCTGTCCTGTCCTCCTGTCCTATTCCCCTGTCCTGTCCTCCTGTTTTCCTGTCCTGTCCTATTCCCCTCTCCTCATGTAATTTATATTTACATTTTAGTCATTTAGCAGACGCTCTTATCCAGAGCCACTTACAGTTAGTGAGCGCATACATTATTTATTTTATTTTTTCATACTGGAATCGAACCCACAACCCTGGCGTTGCAAATGCCATGCTCTACCAACTGAGCTACATCCCTGCCGGCCATTCCCTCCCCTACTCTGGACGACACTGGGCCAATTGTGCGCCGCCCCATGTCCTATTTCCCTGTCCTATTGTCCTGTCTTATTCTCCTGTCCTGTCTTATTCTCCTGTCCTGTCTTATTCTCCTGTCCTGTCCTGTCATCCTGTCCTGTCCTATATCTCCTGTCCTGTCCTATATCCCCTGTCCTGTCCTATTCCCCTGTCGTCCTGTCCTATTCCCCTCTCCTCATGTCCTAATCCCCTGTCCTCCTGTCCTATTTTCCTGTCCTGTCCTATTGTCCTGTCCTATTGTCCAACATCCTGTCCTATTGTCCTGTCCTATTCCCCTGTCCAATGCCCCTGTCCTATGTCCTGTCCTATTTCCTTGTCCTCCTGTCCTGTCCTATTGTCCTCCTGTCCTGTCCTATTGTCCTGTCCTGTCCTATTGTCCTGTCCTCCTGTCCTGTCCTATTGTCCTGTCCTGTCCTATTGTCCTGTCCTCCTGTCCTGTCCTATTGTCCTGTCCTCCTGTCATCCTGTCCTATACCCCTGTCCTCCTGTCCTGTCCTATTCCCCTGTCTTCCTGTCCTATTTCCCTGTCCTATACCCCTGTCCTCCTGCCCTGTCCTATTGTCCTGTCCTCCTGTCCTATTGTCCTGTCATCCTGTCCTATTCCCCTGTCCTCCTGTCCTATCCTATTACCCTGTCCTGTCATCCTGTCCTATACCCCTGTCCTCCTGTCCTGTCCTATTCCCCTGTCCTATACCCCTGTCCTGTCCTATCCTCCTGTCATGTTTATGTAGGAGTTCTCCTCCTCTCTGTCTTCCTTCCTTCCAGCTGTTCTGTTGTTCTCCTTCAGTTGAGCTGTCTGGGTTCTGGGGTTTCAGTTGAACTGTCTGGGTTCTGGGGTTTCAGCTGAACTGTCTGGGTTCTGGGGTTTCAGTTGAACTGTCTGGGTTCTGGGGTTTCAGCTGAACTGTCTGGGTTCTGGGGTTTCAGTTGAGCTGTCTGGGTTCTGGGGTTTCAGCTGAACTGTCTGGGTTCTGGGGTTTCAGCTGAACTGTCTGGGTTCTGGGGTTTCAGCTGAACTGTCTGGGTTCTGGGGTTTCAGCTGAACTGGGAATGGATGTGATCTTAGGTCCTGTCAATTTAGGCCCAGTTCTCCACTAGAATTACTGACTGTCCTCCTGAAGAATCAGATCCCTTAGTTGTCTGTTCTCATGGCTCTCTGCTCTGCCCAGGGTCCTGGTCCATAGCTTTAACTGGACCAGTGGCGTTATAGTGTACTGCTCTGCCCAGGGTCCTGGTCCATAGCTTTAACTGGACCAGTGGCATTATAGTGTACTGCTTTGCCCAGGGTCCTGGTCCATAGCTTTAACTGGACCAGTGGCATTATAGTGTACTAAGGTGTGTATAGTGTGCTAGCCTGGTCCCAGATATCCTTGTGCTGTCTTACCAACTCCCATGTTCATTGTCACGGCGTGACAGAGTGAGACACAACAAACAGATCTGGGACCAGGCTAAAGGTGTCCATGATGCCAGACAGGTTCCCATATAACAAGTCCAGTATGGCACCCTATTCCGAATGGGTTCTGGTCAAAAGTAGTGCACTACAAAGAGAATGGGATGTCATTTGGGACTTAGATATATTTCTTCTGGGCCCAGAACGGTGCTGATGGCTGACTACAGTTCTACTTAGTGGTAGATGTCTGTCTGGCTGGTAGTTTCCCCTCTTCCTGTAAATGTAGCCCAACCTTTACCCATGGCTGTGCCCCTAATGCCACCCTGTAGCCCAACCTTTACCCATGGCTGTGCCCCTAATGCCACCCTGTAGCCCAACCTTTACCCATGGCTGTGCCCCTAATGCCACCCTGTAGCCCAACCTTTACCCATGGCTGTGCCCCTAATGCCACCCTGTAGCCCAACCTTTACCCATGGCTGTGCCCCTAATGCCACCCTGTAGCCCAACCTTTACCCATGGCTGTGCCCCTAATGCCACCCTGTTCCCTACACCGTGCACTTCTTTTGACCAGGGCCCTTGGTAAGGAGTAGGATGCCATTGAGGAGGCAGACCATGTAGCCCGGCCTAAACATCTAAACCATGTATCCCGACCTCTAAACATCTAAACCATGTAGCCCGACCTCTAAACATCTAAACCATGTAGCCCGACCTCTAAACATCTAAACCATGTAGCCCGACCTCTAAACATCTAAACCATGTAGCCCGACCTCTAAACATCTAAACCATGTAGCCTGACCTCTAAACATCTAAACCATGTAGCCCGACCTCTAAACATCTAAACCATGTAGCCCGACCTCTAAACATCTAAACCATGTAGCCCGACCTCTAAACCATGTAGCCCGACCTCTAAACATCTAAACCATGTAGCCCGACCTCTAAACATCTAAACCATGTAGCCCGACCTCTAAACATCTAAACCATGTAGCCCGACCTCTAAACCATGTAGCCCGACCTCTAAACATCTAAACCATGTAGCCCGACCTCTAAACATCTAAACCGTGTAGCCCGACCTAAACATCTAAACCATGTAGCCTGACCTCTAAACATCTAAACCATGTAGCCTGACCTCTAAACATCTAAACCATGTAGCCCGACCTCTAAACCATGTAGCCCGACCTCTAAACATCTAAACCATGTAGCCCGACCTCTAAACCATGTAGCCCGACCTCTAAACATCTAAACCATGTAGCCCGACCTCTAAACATCTAAACCATGTAGCCCGACCTAAACATCTAAACCATGTAGCCTGACCTCTAAACATCTAAACCATGTAGCCTGACCTCTAAACATCTAAACCATGTAGCCTGACCTCAACATCTAAACCATGTAGCCCGACCTCTAAACATCTAAACCATGTAGCCCGACCCCTAAACATCTAAACCATGTAGCCCGACCCCTAAACCATGTGGCCCGACCTCTAAACATCTAAACCATGTGGCCCGACCTCTAAACATCTAAACCATGTAGCCCGACCTCTAAACATCTAAACCATGTGGCCCGACCTCTAAACATCTAAACCATGTGGCCCGACCTCTAAACATCTAAACCATGTAGCCCGACCTAAACATCTAAACCATGTAGCCCGACCTCTAAACATCTAAACCATGTAGCCTGACCTCTAAACATCTAAACCATGTAGCCCGACCTCTAAACATCTAAACCATGTAGCCCGACCTCTAAACATCTAAACCATGTAGCCCGACCTCTAAACATCTAAACCATGTAGCCCGACCTCTAAACATCTAAACCATGTAGCCCGACCTCTAAACATCTAAACCATGTAGCCCGACCTAAACATCTAAACCATGTAGCCCGACCTCTAAACATCTAAACCATGTAGCCTGACCTCTAAACATCTAAACCATGTAGCCTGACCTCAACATCTAAACCATGTAGCCCGACCTCTAAACATCTAAACCATGTAGCCCGACCCCTAAACATCTAAACCATGTAGCCCGACCCCTAAACATCTAAACCATGTGGCCCGACCTCTAAACATCTAAACCATGTAGCCCGACCCCTAAACCATGTGGCCCGACCTCTAAACATCTAAACCATGTGGCCCGACCTCTAAACATCTAAACCATGTAGCCCGACCTCTAAACATCTAAACCATGTAGCCCGACCTCTAAACCATGTAGCCCGACCTCTAAACATCTAAACCATGTAGCCCGACCTCTAAACCATGTAGCCCGACCTCTAAACATCTAAACCATGTAGCCTGACCTCTAAACATCTAAACCATGTAGCCTGACCTCTAAACATCTAAACCATGTAGCCTGACCTCTAAACATCTAAACCATGTAGCCTGACCTCAACATCTAAACCATGTAGCCCGACCTCTAAACATCTAAACCATGTAGCCCGACCCCTAAACATCTAAACCATGTGGCCCGACCTCTAAACATCTAAACCATGTAGCCCGACCCCTAAACCATGTGGCCCGACCTCTAAACATCTAAACCATGTGGCCCGACCTCTAAACATCTAAACCATGTGGACCGACCTCTAAACATCTAAACCATGTAGCCCGACCTCTAAACATCTAAACCATGTAGCCCGACCTCTAAACATCTAAACCATGTAGCCCGACCTCTAAACATCTAAACCATGTAGCCCGACCTCTAAACCATGTAGCCCGACCTCTAAACATCTAAACCATGTAGCCCGACCTAAACATCTAAACCATGTAGCCTGACCTCTAAACATCTAAACCATGTAGCCTGACCTCTAAACATCTAAACCATGTAGCCTGACCTCAACATCTAAACCATGTAGCCCGACCTCTAAACATCTAAACCATGTAGCCCGACCCCTAAACATCTAAACCATGTAGCCCGACCCCTAAACATCTAAACCATGTGGCCCGACCTCTAAACATCTAAACCATGTAACCCGACCTCTAAACCATGTAGCCCGACCTCTAAACATCTAAACCATGTAGCCCGACCTCTAAACCATGTAGCCCGACCTCTAAACATCTAAACCATGTAGCCCGACCTAAACATCTAAACCATGTAGCCTGACCTCTAAACATCTAAACCATGTAGCCTGACCTCTAAACATCTAAACCATGTAGCCTGACCTCAACATCTAAACCATGTAGCCCGACCTCTAAACATCTAAACCATGTAGCCCGACCCCTAAACATCTAAACCATGTGGCCCGACCTCTAAACATCTAAACCATGTAGCCCGACCCCTAAACCATGTGGCCCGACCTCTAAACATCTAAACCATGTGGCCCGACCTCTAAACATCTGAACCATGTAGCCCGACCTCTAAACATCTGAACCATGTAGCCCGACCTCTAAACATCTAAACCATGTAGCCCGACCTCTAAACATCTAAACCATGTAGCCCGACCTAAACATCTAAACCATGTAGCCCGACCTCTAAACATCTAAACCATGTAGCCTGACCTCTAAACATCTAAACCATGTAGCCCGGCCTCAACATCTAAACCATGTAGCCCGATCTCAACATCTAAACCATGTAGCCTGACCTCTAAACATCTAAACCATGTAGCCTGACCTCTAAACATCTAAACCATGTAGCCCGACCTCTAAACCATGTAGCCCGACCTCTAAACCATGTAGCCTGACTTCTAAACATCTAAACCATGTAGCCCGGCCTAAACATCTAAACCATGTAGCCCGACCTCTAAACATCTAAACCATGTAGCCCGACCTCTAAACATCTAAACCATGTAGCCCGACCTCTAAACATCTAAACCATGTAGCCCGACCTAAACATCTAAACCATGTAGCCCGACCTCTAAACATCTAAACCATGTAGCCCGACCTCTAAACATCTAAACCATGTAGCCTGACCTAATCATCAAACCATGTAGCCCGGCCTAAACATCTAAACATATTAGCCCGACCTTAAAACATCTAAACCATGTAGCCCGACCTTTAAACATCTGAACCATGTAGCCCGACCTTTAAACATCTGAACCATGTAGCCCGGCCTAAACTTCTGAACCATGTAGCCCGACCTCTAAACATCTAAACCATGTAGCCCGACCCCTAAACATCTAAACCATGTAGCCCGGCCTAAACATCTAAACCATGTAGCCCGACCTCTAAACATCTAAACCATGTAGCCCGACCTCTAAACATCTAAACCATGTAGCCCGACCTCTAAACATCTGAACCATGTAGCCCGACCTAAACATCTGAACCATGTAGCCCGACCTAAACATCTAAACCATGTAGCCCGACCTAAACATCTAAACCATGTAGCCCGACCTCTAAACATCTAAACCATGTAGCCCGACCTCTAAACATCTAAACCATGTAGCCCGACCTCTAAACATCTAAACGATGTAGCCCGACCTCTAAACATCTAAACCATGTAGCCCGACCTAATCATCTGAACCATGTAGCCCGACCTCTAAACATCTGAACCATGTAGCCCGACCTCTAAACATCTAAACATATTAGCCCGACCTTAAAACATCTGAACCATGTAGCCCGACCTCTAAACATCTGAACCATGTAGCCCGACCTCTAAACATCTAAACCATGTAGCCCGGCCTAAACATCTGAACCATGTAGCCCGGCCTAAACATCTGAACCATGTAGCCCGGCCTAAACATCTGAACCATGTAGCCCGACCTCTAAACATCTAAACCATGTAGCCCGACCTCTAAACATCTAAACCATGTAGCCCGACCTCTAAACATCTAAACCATGTAGCCCGACCTCTAAACATCTAAACCATGTGGCCCGACCTCTAAACATCTAAACAATGTAGCCTGACCTCTAAACATCTAAACCATGTAGCCCGACCTCTAAACATCTAAACCATGTAGCCCGACCTCTAAACATCTAAACCATGTAGCCTGACCTCTAAACATCTAAACCATGTAATCCGACCCCTAAACATCTAAACCATGTAGCCCGACCTCTAAACATCTAAACCATGTAGCCTGACCTCTAAACATCTAAACCATGTAGCCTGACCTCTAAACATCTAAACCATGTAGCCCGACCTCTAAACATCTAAACCATGTAGCCTGACCTCTAAACATCTAAACCATGTAATCCGACCTCTAAACATCTAAACCATGTAGCCCGACCTCTAAACATCTGAACCATGTAGCCCGACCTAAACATCTAAACCATGTAGCCCGACCTAAACATCTAAACCATGTATTCTGACCTAAACATCTAAACCATGTAGCCTGACCTAACCATGTTCAGATGAAGGGATTTCATCAGAGCTCCATAGAGCTTGGTGTTTTGACTGAAGTGGCAGAACCAGGATCTGTCATCAATAAAGAACTACGCTGCAGTAACACTAAAGCCCACAGGATCATATACAACACACACACACACACACACACACACACACACACACACAGACACGCACACATACGCACACACACAGACACACACCACACACACAGACACACACCACACACACACACAGACACACACACACACACACACAGACACACACACACACACACACAGACACGCACACATACGCACACACACAGACACACACCACACACACAGACACACACCACACACACACACACAGACACACACACACACACACACACACACACACACAGCAGTCTTTAGCTGATCTGAGCAGTCCTGGTCTGTATAGTGTGTCTCTGTTTGAGGTTCAGTCATGGCGGAAGGAATGTAGCAGGGTTGAGGTTGAGACTAGGGCTGGTTGGATGTGAAGGGAGGGTTGAGGTTGAGACTAGGGCTGGTTGGATGTGAAGGGAGGCATGAGGTTGAGACTAGGGCTGGTTGGATGTGAAGGGAGGGCTGAGGTTGAGACTAGGGCTGGTTGGATGTGAAGGGAGGCTTGAGGTTGAGACTAGGGCTGGTTGGATGTGAATGGAGGCTTGAGGTTGGAGCTGGGGCTTTATGGGACTGGGGCTGAGGCAGGGGGCTGCTTGGTGTTCTGGCGTCTGTGGGGCTCATTCGTTGTGGAAGAAAGGAAATGTTCTGTCTCCACTGAGCTGCTTCTGGATCTGGATGTTGTCTGATTTTATCAGACTGGTATACATTATTTAATCGGTATACATTCTGAAACATAGGAGTGCACAATCATGGAAATGTTCCTTACAACCAGAAGAATGTTGACAAAAATTCCATTGGAACTTCCCTCTACTGGTTGGTCCTTCAGCTGCTCGGAATTTGAGATAAAGGGCGTTGTGCTAAACAGTCATCAGCGATTGGATCATCTCTAACCAATCAGAGTATCAAAGCCAATTATGCATTTTTTACCCACGTGTGTTCTGGCTCTGACCCAACCCATCGGTTTCTGGACCAATCAGACGGCCCAAATGTGTTGGCGTTGGGTGAAGGGTCTGGAAGGTACTCCGATCCAATGAGGAGAAGACACTAACGTCCGTGGGCGTGGCCTAGCGTTTGGCCGGAGCTAGGAGTCTGTGTTGCCAGGCAGCAGTGTCCTCAGGATTCCTGTGATTTTTCTGATCATTTTTTACTGATTTTGAAATGTTATTTACCTGCCACAGTTACTTTTTATTTCTACCATTTTAAGTTATTCAAAAGTATTTTAAGGGCAATATTCCTGAGCCGATATTTTCTTCCGTCTTCTTTGAAGGACGGGAGCCTCATCACTTTATCTAATGTAGTCTTGTGGGCAGGTCTAAATCTGGACGCTATTTGAGTTATCAAATAAAGTGTTTGGGAATTTAAGTTGTTTCAGCGATTTGACCTCTTTAAATATTCTGGTAAAGAATCTTAACTTTGAAGTCGTCCCATAGAGAACGATTGCAGTTAGAGGTCCAATGTTTAAAACATGACCTTAGATACTAACTGATTGGAATAATTGGTATCCTTTTTTACCCCTGCTAGCTGCCAGAGGTGGCCCGGAAACATTTTATTTGAATAAAGTAACATATTTTCCTTAGTTTCATTCCGGTCGGCATGCCAGCAATGGGAAGTGTTGAAGCTGGTATGTATCATGTTGTTTGCAGTGGTCCTCTGTATCTCAGCTGGAATAGCATTATTATTATTATATCTCAATGGTCCTCTGGTCCTCTGTATCTCAGCTGGTATGTATCATGTTGTTTGCAGTGGTCCTCTGTATCTCAGCTGGTATGTATCATGTTGTTTGCAGTGGTCCTCTGTATCTCAGCTGGTATGTATCATGTTGTTTGCAGTGGTCCTCTGTATCTCAGCTGGTATGTATCATGTTGTTTGCAGTGGTCCTCTGTATCTCAGCTGGTATGTATCATGTTGTTTGCAGTGGTCCTCTGTATCTCAGCTGGTATGTATCATGTTGTTTGCAGTGGTCCTCTGTATCTCAGCTGGTATGTATCATGTTGTTTGCAGTGGTCCTCTGTATCTCAGCTGGTATGTATCATGTTGTTTGCAGTGGTCCTCTGTATCTCAGCTGGTATGTATCATGTTGTTTGCAGTGGTCCTCTGTATCTCAGCTGGTATGTATCATGTTGTTTGCAGTGGTCCTCTGTATCTCAGCTGGTATGTATCATGTTGTTTGCAGTGGTCCTCTGTATCTCAGCTGGTATGTATCATGTTGTTTGCAGTGGTCCTCTGTATCTCAGCTGGTATGTATCATGTTGTTTGCAGTGGTCCTCTGTATCTCAGCTGGTATGTATCATGTTGTTTGCAGTGGTCCTCTGTATCTCAGCTGGTATGTATCATGTTGTTTGCAGTGGTCCTCTGTATCTCAGCTGGTATGTATCATGTTGTTTGCAGTGGTCCTCTGTATCTCAGCTGGTATGTATCATGTTGTTTGCAGTGGTCCTCTGTATCTCAGCTGGTATGTATCATGTTGTTTGCAGTTTAGTCAGATTGAAGATCTGTTTTAGGAACCTGATTTTTACGGTAAGAGGATAAAATACTGAGCATTCTGATGAGGATTGCATGTGAATTAATATTTCTGAAACGCTTAATGCTTATGTCTTAGCCGAGTTGAGTAAAATAAAACATTGCAGTGCATAGACTATTTATTTTTTAATGCCACTGCAATTGTCTTTTATTGAAAAGCCTGACAATATTTTTCTTTAAATGAATCGACTAAATATGCTGTCATTTCTTTTGGGGACATATTATGGTGAAAGTTTTTTTAAGATAATGTTTCCTAGTTGAATCACTCCGTTCTCATTTGGTTTTCAGCTCTTTCATTCACCAAATCAATTGTCCTTATCAAAGTATGTATCGTACACTGTGGTAACAATGTCGTTCTGCCTCCTCATTGATCTGATAAAAGCCTTTTTACTCTTTCCATTGTTGATGGTCCAGTCTGATGTCATGGCTGTTGACGTCACAGCAATTCTCTAGCCCCTAGCTGGCTGTGGAATGCAAAAGAGCCAATCAGTTCTGTTTACTGTGTGTCCCGATCACATTTTACAGACTGTAATGGTCACAGATGAAAGACCAGGGGGCCTTTTTTATATTTTAAGCATCAGAGTGTAAGTGCTGTTCTAGGACCAGGTTCACCACCTGACCAAAGTACACCTTTTCATTGTGATCTAAAAGGCACTGATCCTAGATCAGACTAGATCTGGGGCCCCAGAGCTCTAACATGTCCTCCCATCCAGGAGAGGCCCATTTTCATTCCATTCCTCCGTAACCTTGCAGAGCAGAACTGACGACGTACTGAGTCAGTTTACGTGGTTAGATCTTGGTTGACGGGTCCTGGTGACTGGTGACACACCGACCGACCGGGGATAGAGCGAGAGAAGGTATTCGGGGTCATCTGTTTACTTTCTGAAGGGGAAAGTTTATGTCCGTACGTAATACACTTCTGCTTAGATGGAGATTGTTTCCAGCCATTGACGCAGGGTGGCAGGCAGGCTGAATAACAGTGGATAACTGACCATTGTCTTGAGTTTCTGATACAAATCAGAAAACATGTTTGTTTTTTTAGTTTTCTTGGTCTGCAGGGAAAGCACAGTAAACACACGCTGCTCCAGTCTCTGGCTAAGTCCCAAATAGCACCCTATTCCCTGTAGTGTACTATGGGGCCAGGGCAATGCAAATAGTCTGGGTAGCCATTTGATTAGCTGTTCAGGAGTCTTACGGCTTGGGGGTAGAAGCTGTTAATAGTCCGGGTAGCCATTTGATTAGCTGTTCAGGAGTCTTACGGCTTGGGGGTAGAAGCTGTTAATAGTCCGGGTAGCCATTTGATTAGCTGTTCAGGAGTCTTACGGCTTGGGGGTAGAAGCTGTTAAGAAGCCTTTTGGACCTTGACTTGGCGCTCCGGTACCGCTTGCCGTGCGGTAGCAGAGAGAACAGTCTATGACTAAGGTGGCTGGAGTCTTTGACAATTTTGAGGGCCTTCCGCTGACACCGGCTGGCATAGAGGTCCTGGATTGGCAGGAAGCTTGGCCCCAGTGATGTACTGGGCCGTACGCACTACCCTCTGTAGTGCCTTACGGTCGGAGGCCGAGCAGTTGCCATACCAGGCAGTGACGCAACCAGTCAGGATGCTCTCGATGGTGCAGCTGTAGAACTTTTTGAGGATCTGAGGACCCATGCCAAATCTTTTCAGTCTCCTGAGGGGGAATAGGCGTTGTCGTGCCCTCTTCACGACTGTCTTGGTGTGTTTGGACCATGATAGTTTGTTGGTGATGTGGACACCAAGGAACTTGAAGCTCTCAACCTGTTCCACTACAGCCTCGTCGATGAGAATGGGGGCATTCTCGGTCCTCCTTTTCCTGTAATCCACAATCATCTCCTTTGTCTTGGTCACGTTGAGGGAGAGGTTGTTTTCCTGGCACACGTAATGAAGGTGTTGAAGTTGTGCCTGGCCATGCAGTCATGGGTGAAGAGGGAGTACAGGAAGGGACTGAGCACGCACCCCTGAGGGGCCCCCGTGTTGAGGATCAGTGTAGCAGATGTGTGGTTACCTACCCGTACCACCTTGGGGCGGCCCGTCAGGAAGTCCAGGATCCAGTTGCAGAGGGAGGTGTTTAGTCCCAGGATCCTTAGCTTAGTGATGAACTTTGAGGGCACTACATTTACATTCAGAACTTACAAATTGGTGCATTCGACTTAGGATAGCCAGTGGGACAAGTAGTTGTAGTCTGTAATAGTTTTCAAGCCCTGCCACATCCGACGAGCGTCAGAGCCAGTGTAGTACGATTAGATCTTAGTCCTGTATTGACGCTTTGCCTGTTTGATGATTCGTCGGAGGTCGTAGCGGGATTTCTTATAAGCTTCCGGGTTAGAGTCCCGCTCCTTGAAGGCGGCAGCTCTACCCTTTAGCTCAGTGCGGATGTTGCCTGTAATCCATGGCATCTGGTTGGGATATGTACGTACGGTCACTGTGGGGACGACGTCATCGATGCACTTATTAATGTAGCCAGTGACTGATGTGGTGTATTCCTCAATGCTATCGGAAGAATCCGAGTCTGTGCTAGCAAAACAGTCCTGTAGCTTAGCATCTGCGTCATCTGACCACTTCTTTATTGACCAAGTCACTGGTGCTTCCTGCTTTAGTTTTTGCTTATAAGCAGGAATCAGGAGGATAGAGTTATGGTCAGATTTGCCAAATGGAGGGCGAGGGAGAGCTTTGTACGCGTCTCTGTGTGTGGAGTAAAGGTGGTCTAGAGTTTTTTTCCCTCTGGTTGCACATTTAACATGCTGGTAGAAATTAGGTAGAACGGATTTAAGTTTCCCTGCATTAAAGTCCCCGGCCACTAGGAGCGCTGCATCTGGATGAGCGTTTTCCTGTTTACTTATGGCCTTATACAGCTCATTGAGTGCAATCTTAGTGCCAGCATCGGTTTGTGGTGGTAAATAGACAGCTATGAAAAATATAGATGAAAACTCTCTTGGTAGATAGTGTGGTCTACAGCTTATCATGAGATACTCTACCTCAGGCGAGCAAAACCTTCGAGACTTCCTTTAATATTGGATTTCGTGCACCAGCTGTTGTTTACAAATATACACAGACCGCCACCCTTTGTCTTACCGGAGTCAGCCGTTCTATCCTGCCGATGTAGCTTATAGCCCGCTAGCTGTATGTTGTCCATGTCGTCGTTCAGCCACGACTCTGTGAGGGAAAAAAAAAAAAAAAAAAAAAAAAACATAAGTAGACAGTTTTTAATGTCCCGTTGGTAGGATAACCTTAATCGTAGCTCGTTATCCAATGATTGTACGTTGGCTAATAGGACTGATGGTAGAGGCAGATTACCCACTCACCACCGGATCTTTACAAGGCACCCCGACCTACGTCATTTTACATTACATTTTACATTTTAGTCATTTAGCAGACGCTCTTATCCAGAGCGACTTACATATTTATTTTTTTTATACTGGCCCCCCGTGGGAATCGAACCCACAACCCTGGCGTTGCAAACGCCATGCTCTACTGAGCTACATCCCTGCCGGCCATTCCCTCCCCTACCCTGGACGACGCTGGGCCAATTGTGCGCCGCCCATGAGTCTCCCGGTCGCGGCCGGCGGCGACAGAGCCTGGATTCGAACCAGGATCTCTAGTGGCACAGTTAGCACTGCGATGCAGTGCCTTAGACCACTGCGCCACTCAGGAGTACTGTAGCAGTGTGTCTTAAAGCCAATTTATGCTTGGATATATGGAGATAATGGAGCCGGAGGAGATGGCTGCCGTTTTACGGGTTCCTTCCTACGTCCTCGATATCTCCGTCTCTTTCTCCTGCGAATGATGGGGATTTGGGCCTTCTCGGGTGTCTGAAGTAAATCCTTCGCGCCCAACTCGTTAAAGACCAAAATCTTCGTCCAGTACGAGGTGAGTAATCGCTGTCCTGATATCCAGAAGCTATTTTCTGTCGTAAGAGACGGTGGCAGAAACATTATGTACAGAATAAGTTACAAATGACGCAAAAAAACACACAATAGAACAATTGGTTAGGAACCCGTAAAAACGGCAGCCATCTCCTCCGGCTCCATTATCTCCATATATCCAAGCATAAATTGGCTTTAAGACACACTGCTACAGTCTTGTGGTGAGGTCACTGTGGGTCTCTCTCTCGCTCTCTCTCTCTCTCTGTCTCTCTCTCTCTCTCTCACTCTCACTCTCACTCTCACTCTCACTCTCACTCTCACTCTCACTCTCTCGCTCACCTACCGACCGGCCTGTTTCTAAACCTCCTACGAGATCATTATTTAATCAGAGAACAGGGAGTGCAGAGTCGTTCAGTGTGCGACAGCTGCTGATGGGGAAATGGACGGCAGTCATTTGTAATCACACTGTTTTTATTATTATTTAATTGCCAAAACTGACCTAGGGCCTGTTGAGGTGAAAACAAGAAAAATGAATGTGTCTGATTATAGACAGAACTGACCTCTAGGGCCTGTTGAGGTGAAAACAAATAGACAGAATATTGTATGTCAAAAAGCATACATTTTGATAAGATGCAAGGTTGAAGCAGAAGGCATTTCCTGCTGCATGTGATGGAATGAGCACAGAACTACGCAGACAATGAAGTACAGAAAAAAGTCAATCATATCCTGAAAATGTTGGCTTGTGGTATCACTTTGTACCCTTAATAAAACTGTTCTCACCACTAAATGTCTGTTGGAAAACCGTGAACTTGGATGAGACTCGGTAGTAACGAAGCGTTGTGGGAAGGGAAGGCCAGGTTCACATTTTCTTCCCCTAAACACATAAGAAAAGAAGATTAGAATGTCAGGCTTTTAAAATCCATTTCCAATAACTGCCCCTCCCGCTCTCTCTCCTCCCCCACAATTTAAGGGCTTTATTGGCATGGGAAACGTATGTTAAAGTTGCCAAAGCAAGTGAAGTAGATAGTAAACCAGAGCGTCTGCTAAATGACTAAAATGGAAATGTAAATGTAAACAAAAGTGAAATAAACAATAAATATTAACAGTAAACATTACACTCAGAAGTTCCAAAAGAATAAAGACATTTCAAATGTCATATTATGTATATATACAGTGTTGTAACAATGTGCAAATAGTTAAAGTACAAATGGGGAAATAAATCAACATAAATATGGGTTGTATTTACAATGGTGTTTGTTCTTCACTGGTTGCCCTTTTCTTGTGGCAACAGGTCACAAATATTGCTGCTGTGATGGCACACTGTGGTATTTCACCCAGTAGATAAGGGAGTTTATCAAAATCGGGTTTGTTTTCGTATTCTTTGTGGATCTGTGTAATCTGAGGGAAATATGTGTCTCTAATATGGTCATACATTTGGCAGGAGGTTAGGAAGTGCAGCTCAGTTTCGACCTCATTTTGTGGGCAGTGTGCCCATAGCCTGTCTTCCCTTGAGAGCCAGGTCTGCCTACGGCGGCCTTTCTCAATAGCAAGGCTATGCTCACTGAGTCTGTACATAGTCAAAGCTTTCCTTAAATTTGGGTCAGTCACAGTGGTCAGGTATTCTGCCACTGTGTACTCTCTGTTTAGAGCCAAATAGCATTCTAGTTTGCTCTGTTTTTTTGTTAATTCTTTCCAATGTGTCAAGTAATTCTCATGTTGTTTTCTCATGATTTATGCATGTCTCTCTCTCTCTCTCTCTGAGTGTGACATGTCTTAATGTTTCTCTCTCTCTCTCTGAGTGTGACATGTCTTAATGTTTCTCTCTCTCTCTCTGAGTGTGACATGTCTTAATGTTTCTCTCTCTCTCTGAGTGTGACATGTCTTAATGTTTCTCTCTCTCTCTCTGAGTGTGACATGTCTTAATGTTTCTCTCTCTCTCTCTCTGAGTGTGACATGTCTTAATGTTCTCTCTCTCTCTCTCTGAGTGTGACATGTCTTAATGTTTCTCTCTCTCTCTCTCTGAGTGTGACATGTCTTAATGTTTCTCTCTCTCTCTCTGAGTGTGACATGTCTTAATGTTTCTCTCTCTCTCTCTGAGTGTGACATGTCTTAATGTTTCTCTCTCTCTCTGAGTGTGACATGTCTTAATGTTTCTCTCTCTCTCTCTGAGTGTGACATGTCTTAATGTTTCTCTCTCTCTCTGAGTGTGACATGTCTTAATGTTTCTCTCTCTCTCTGAGTGTGACCTGTCTTAATGTCTTCTCCTCTCTCCTCTGAGTGTGACATGTCTAATGTCTCTCTCTCTCTCTCTGAGTGTGACATGTCTTAATGTTTCTCTCTCTCTCTGAGTGTGACATGTCTTAATGTTTCTCTCTCTCTCTGAGTGTGACATGTCTTAATGTTTCTCTCTCTCTCTCTGTGTGACATGTCTTAATGTTTCTCTCTCTCTCTCTGAGTGTGACATGTCTTAATGTTTCTCTCTCTCTCTCTCTGAGTGTGACATGTCTTAATGTTTCTCTCTCTCTCTGAGTGTGACATGTCTTAATGTTTCTCTCTCTCTCTCTGAGTGTGACATGTCTTAATGTTTCTCTCTCTCTCTCTCTGAGTGTGACATGTCTTAATGTCTCTCTCTCTCTCTCTGAGTGTGACATGTCTTAATGTTTCTCTCTCTCTCTCTGAGTGTGACATGTCTTAATGTTTCTCTCTCTCTCTCTCTGAGTGTGACATGTCTTAATGTTTCTCTCTCTCTCTCTGAGTGTGACATGTCTTAATGTTTCTCTCTCTCTCTGAGTGTGACATGTCTTAATGTTTCTCTCTCTCTCTCTGAGTGTGACATGTCTTAATGTTTCTCTCTCTCTCTCTGAGTGTGACATGTCTTAATGTTTCTCTCTCTCTCTGAGTGTGACCTGTCTTAATGTTTTCCTCTCTTCCTGAGGTGACATGTCTTAATGTTTCTCTCTCTCTCTCTCTCTCTCTCTCCTATCTCTCTGAGTGTGACGGCTTAATGTTAGTTTCTCTCTCTCTCTGAGTGTGACAGTCTTAAGGTATCTCTCTTATCTCGAGTGTGAAATGTTTAGTGTTTCTTTCTCTCTCTATTGAGTGGACAATGTCTTAAGTTTCTCGCTCTCTTGAGTGTGACATGGTCTTAATTTTCTTCACTCTCTGATGGGACATGTTTAAATTTTCTCTCTTGCTTCTATCTCTCTTTGTCTCTCTCTCCGCTCTGAGTGTGACATGTCTTAATGTTTCCTCTCTCTCTCTGAGTGTGACATGTCTTAATGTTTCTCTCTCTCTCTGAGTGTTGACATGTCTAATGTTTCTCTCTCTCTCTGAGTGTGACATGTCGTAATGTTTCTCTCTCTCTCTGAGTGTGAAATGTCTTAATGTTTCTCTCTCTCTCTCTCTGAGTGTGACATGTCTTAATGTTTCTCTCTCTCTCTCGTGAGTGTGAAATGTCTTAATGTTTCTCTCTCTCTCTCTCTGAGTGTGACATGTCTTAATGTTTCTCTCTCTCTCTGAGTGTGACATGTCTTAATGTTTCTCTCTCTCTGAGTGTGACATGTCTTAATGTTTCTCTCTCTCTCTCTCTCTCTCTCTCTCTCTCTCTGAGTGTGACATGTCTTAATGTCTCTCTCTCTCTCTGAGTGTGACATGTCTTAATGTTTCTCTTCTCTCTCTGAACTGTGACATGTCTTAGGTTTCTCTCTCTCTCTCTGAGTGTGACATGTCTTAATGTTTCTCTCTCTCTCTCTCTGAGGGTGACATGTCTTAATGTCTCTCTCTCTCTCTCTCTGAGTGTGACATTGTCTTAATGTTTCTCTCTCTCCTCTCTGAGTGTGACATGTCTTAATGTTTCTCTCTCTCTCTGAGTGTGACATGTCTCTCTCTCTCTGAGTGTGACATGTCTTAATGTTTCTCTCTCTCTCTCTCTGAGTGTGACATGTCTTAATGTTTCTCTCTCTCTCTCTCTGAGTGTGACATGTCTTAATGTTTCTCTCTCTCTCTCTGAGTGTGACATGTCTTAATGTTTCTCTCTCTCTCTGAGTGTGACATGTCTTAATGTTTCTCTCTCTCTCTCTCTGAGTGTGACATGTCTTAATGTTTCTCTCTCTCTGAGTGTGACATGTCTTAATGTTTCTCTCTCTCTCTCTGAGTGTGACATGTCTTAATGTTTCTCTCTCTCTCTCTGAGTGTGACATGTCTTAATGTTTCTCTCTCTCTCTGAGTGTGACATGTCTTAATGTTTCTCTCTCTCTGAGTGTGACATGTCTTAATGTTCTCTCTCTCTCTCTCTGAGTGTGGACATGTCTTAATGTTTCTCTCTCTCTCTCTGAGTGTGACATGTCTTAATGTTTCTCTCTCTCTCTGAGTGTGACATGTCTTAATGTTTCTCTCTCTCTGAGTGTGACATGTCTTAATGTTTCTCTCTCTCTCTCTGAGTGTGACATGTCTTAATGTTTCTCTCTCTCTCTCTCTGAGTGTGACCTGTCTTAATGTTTCTCTCTCTCTCTGCAGGTGGTCAAGCTGCTGAACAACAAGCGTTCTCAGGCGGTGGGGATTCTGATGTCCAGTCTGCATCTGGACATGAAGGACATCCAGCATGGTTAGTTAATGACTTAGACTCCCTGGACATGAAGGACATCCAGCATGGTTAGTTAATGACTTAGACTCCCTGGACATGAAGGACATCCAGCATGGTTAGTTAATGACTTAGACTCCCTGGACATGAAGGACATCCAGCATGGTTAGTTAATGACTTAGACTCCCTGGACATGAAGGACATCCAGCATGGTTAGTTAATGACTTAGACTCCCTGGACATGAAGGACATCCAGCACGGTTAGTTAATGACTTAGACTCCCTGGACATGAAGGACATCCAGCACGGTTAGTTAATGACTTAGACTCCCTGGACATGAAGGACATCCAGCACGGTTAGTTAATGACTTAGACTCCCTGGACATGAAGGACATCCAGCATGTTAGTTAATGACTTAGATCCCCTGCTGAAGGACATAGACCAGTCTGCTTATGACTTAGACTCCACTGTAATAAGCTCCAGCATGGTTGTAGACTGCTCCCTCATAGAATGCGGTTATGTTAGACCTTACTCCCTGCTGACCAGAGCCTCAGTACAGTCTGAGTAAGACTGTAGATCCCCTGCTGGACTCAGCAGTAGCAGTTGACTGTAGACTCCCTGGACAGAGGCTCAGCAGTCATGTAATGTTAGATCCCCTGCTGACAAGCCTCAGTAGACAGTTGTCCTGTACATGTAGATCCCTGCTGACCAGACCTCAGTAGCAGTCTGTACTGTAGAATCCCCTGTGACCAGGCCTCAGATAGCTAGTCTGTATGTAGATCCCCTGCTGACCAGGCCTCAGTACAGTCTGTACTGTAGATCCCCTGCTGACCAGGCCATCAGTAGCAGTGTCTGTACTGTAGATCCCCTGCGACCAGGCCTCAATAGCAGTCTGTACTGTTAGATCCCCTGCTGACCAGGCTCAGTAACAGTCTGTACTGTAGATCCCCTGCTGACCAGGCCTCAGTAGCAGTCTGTACTGTAGATCCCCTGCTGACCAGGCCTCAGTAGCAGTCTGTACTGTAGATCCCCTGCTGACCAGGCCTCAGTAGCAGTCTGTACTGTAGATCCCCTGCTGACCAGGCCTCAGTAGCAGTCTGTACTGTAGATCCCCTGCTGACCAGACCTCAGTACCAGTCTGTACTGTAGATCCCCTGCTGACCAGGCCTCAGTAGCAGTCTGGTCCATGTACTGTAGATCCCCTGCTGACCAGGCCTCAGTACCAGTCTGTACTGTAGATCCCCTGCTGACCAGACCTCAGTAGCAGTCTGTACTGTAGATCCCCTGCTGACCAGGCCTCAATAGCAGTCTGTACTGTAGATCCCCTGCTGACCAGGCCTCAGTAACAGTCTGTACTGTAGATCCCCTGCTGACCAGGCCTCAGTAGCAGTCTGTACTGTAGATCCCCTGCTGACCAGGCCTCAGTAGCAGTCTGTACTGTAGATCCCCTGCTGACCAGGCCTCAGTAGCAGTCTGTACTGTAGATCCCCTGCTGACCAGACCTCAGTACCAGTCTGTACTGTAGATCCTCTGCTGACCAGGCCTCAGTAGCAGTCTGGTCCATGTACTGTAGATCCCCTGCTGACCAGGCCTCAGTAGCAGTCTGGTCCATGTACTGTAGATCCCCTGCTGACCAGGCCTCAGTACCAGTCTGTACTGTAGATCCCCTGCTGACCAGACCTCAGTAGCAGTCTGTACTGTAGATCCCCTGCTGACCAGTAGCAGTCTGTACTGTAGATCCCCTGCTGACCAGACCTCAGTAGCAGTCTGGTCCATGTACTGTAGATCCCCTGCTGACCAGGCCTCAGTAGCAGTCTGGTCCATGTACTGTAGATCCCCTGCTGACCAGGCCTCAGTAGCAGTCTGTACTGTAGATCCCCTGCTGACCAGACCTCAGTAGCAGTCTGGTCCATGTACTGTAGATCCCCTGCTGACCAGGCCTCAGTAGCAGTCTGTACTGTAGATCCCCTGCTGACCAGGCCTCAGTAGCAGTCTGGTCCATGTACTGTAGATCCCCTGCTGACCAGGCCTCAGTAGCAGTCTGTACTGTAGATCCCCTGCTGACCAGGCCTCAGTAGCAGTCTGTACTGTAGATCCCCTGCTGACCAGGCCTCAGTAGCAGTCTGGTCCATGTACTGTAGATCCCCTGCTGACCAGACCTCAGTAGCAGTCTGGTCCATGTACTGTAGATCCCCTGCTGACCAGGCCTCAGTAGCAGTCTGTACTGTAGATCCCCTGCTGACCAGACCTCAGTAGCAGTCTGGTCCATGTACTGTAGATCCCCTGCTGACCAGGCCTCAGTAGCAGTCTGGTCCATGTACTGTAGATCCCCTGCTGACCAGGCCTCAGTACCAGTCTGTACTGTAGATCCCCTGCTGACCAGGCCTCAGTACCAGTCTGTACTGTAGATCCCCTGCTGACCAGACCTCAGTAGCAGTCTGTACTGTAGATCCCCTGCTGACAACCAGTAGCAGTCTGTACTGTAGATCCCCTGCTGACCAGGCCTCAGTAGCAGTCTGTACTGTAGATCCCCTGCTGACCAGGCCTCAGTAGCAGTCTGTACTGTAGATCCCCTGCTGACCAGGCCTCAGTAACAGTCTGGTCCATGTACTGTAGATCCCCTGCTGACCAGGCCTCAGTAGCAGTCTGTACTGTAGATCCCCTGCTGACCAGGCCTCAGTAACAGTCTGGTCCATGTACTGTAGATCCCCTGCTGACCAGACCTCAGTAGCAGTCTGTACTGTAGATCCCCTGCTGACCAGACCTCAGTAGCAGTCTGGTCCATGTACTGTAGATCCCCTGCTGACCAGACCTCAGTAGCAGTCTGGTCCATGTACTGTAGATCCCCTGCTGACCAGACCTCAGTAGCAGTCTGGTCCATGTACTGTAGATCCCCTGCTGACCAGGCCTCAGTAGCAGTCTGTACTGTAGATCCCCTGCTGACCAGACCTCAGTAACAGTCTGGTCCATGTACTGTAGATCCCCTGCTGACCAGACCTCAGTAGCAGTCTGTACTGTAGATCCCCTGCTGACCAGACCTCAGTAGCAGTCTGTACTGTAGATCCCCTGCTGACCAGACCTCAGTAGCAGTCTGGTCCATGTACTGTAGATCCCCTGCTGACCAGACCTCAGTAGCAGTCTGTACTGTAGATCCCCTGCTGACCAGGCCTCAGTAGCAGTCTGGTCCATGTACTGTAGATCCCCTGCTGACCAGACCTCAGTAGCAGTCTGTACTGTAGATCCCCTGCTGACCAGACCTCAGTAGCAGTCTGGTCCATGTACTGTAGATCCCCTGCTGACCAGGCCTCAGTACCAGTCTGTACTGTAGATCCCCTGCTGACCAGGCCTCAGTAGCAGTCTGTACTGTAGATCCCCTGCTGACCAGGCCTCAGTAGCAGTCTGGTCCATGTACTGTAGATCCCCTGCTGACCAGGCCTCAGTAGCAGTCTGTACTGTAGATCCCCTGCTGACCAGACCTCAGTAGCAGTCTGGTCCATGTACTGTAGATCCCCTGCTGACCAGACCTCAGTAGCAGTCTGTACTGTAGATCCCCTGCTGACCAGGCCTCAGTAGCAGTCTGTACTGTAGATCCCCTGCTGACCAGGCCTCAGTAGTAGTCTGGTCCATGTACTGTAGATCCCCTGCTGACCAGGCCTCAGTAGCAGTCTGTACTGTAGATCCCCTGCTGACCAGGCCTCAGTAGCAGTCTGGTCCATGTACTGTAGATCCCCTGCTGACCAGACCTCAGTAGCAGTCTGTACTGTAGATCCCCTGCTGACCAGGCCTCAGTAGCAGTCTGGTCCATGTACTGTAGATCCCCTGCTGACCAGGCCTCAGTAGCAGTCTGGTCCATGAACTGTAGATCCCCTGCTGACCAGACCTCAGTAGCAGTCTGTACTGTAGATCCCCTGCTGACCAGACCTCAGTAGCAGTCTGTACTGTAGATCCCCTGCTGACCAGACCTCAGTAGCAGTCTGGTCCATGTACTGTAGATCCCCTGCTGACCAGACCTCAGTAACAGTCTGTACTGTAGATCCCCTGCTGACCAGTAGCAGTCTGGTCCATGTACTGTAGATCCCCTGCTGACCAGGCCTCAGTAACAGTCTGGTCCATGTACTGTAGATCCCCTGCTGACCAGACCTCAGTAGCAGTCTGTACTGTAGATCCCCTGCTGACCAGGCCTCAGTAGCAGTCTGTACTGTAGATCCCCTGCTGACCAGGCCTCAGTAACAGTCTGTACTGTAGATCCCCTGCTGACCAGGCCTCAGTAACAGTCTGTACTGTAGATCCCCTGCTGACCAGGCCTCAGTAACAGTCTGTACTGTAGATCCCCTGCTGACCAGGCCTCAGTAGCAGTCTGTACTGTAGATCCCCTGCTGACCAGGCCTCAGTAGCAGTCTGTACTGTAGATCCCCTGCCGACCAGGCCTCAGTAACAGTCTGTACTGTAGATCCCCTGCTGACCAGGCCTCAGTAACAGTCTGGTCCATGTACTGTAGATCCCCTGCTGACCAGACCTCAGTAGCAGTCTGGTCCATGTACTGTAGATCCCCTGCTGACCAGGCCTCAGTAGCAGTCTGTACTGTAGATCCCCTGCTGACCAGGCCTCAGTAGCAGTCTGTACTGTAGATCCCCTGCTGACCAGACCTCAGTAGCAGTCTGGTCCATGTACTGTAGATCCCTTGCTGACCAGACCTCAGTAGCAGTCTGTACTGTAGATCCCCTGCTGACCAGACCTCAGTAGCAGTCTGTACTGTAGATCCCCTGCTGACCAGACCTCAGTAACAGTCTGTACTGTAGATCCCCTGCTGACCAGGCCTCAGTAGCAGTCTGTACTGTAGATCCCCTGCTGACCAGGCCTCAGTAGCAGTCTGTACTGTAGATCCCCTGCTGACCAGACCTCAGTAGCAGTCTGGTCCATGTACTGTAGATCCCCTGCTGACCAGACCTCAGTAGCAGTCTGTACTGTAGATCCCCTGCTGACCAGGCCTCAGTAGCAGTCTGGTCCATGTACTGTAGATCCCCTG